AAATAACGGAGTGCTCCCTTTCCTCGACGTCCAGGTATCGAGGCAGGAAGACGGAACCCTCCAGACTGGTGTCTTTCGAAAGGCGACAGACACGGAGAAAATTCTTTATTACAACAGCAATCACCCCCTGTCGCATAAGCGCAGTTGTGTCCGGACCCTTTTTCGCCGCATCCACACACACTGCAGCACAGAAGCCGAGAAGCTGCGGGAGTGTAAAACCCTATGGCGCCTCTTCCTTGCCAATGGATATCCACGTAGTTTTGTGAACAAATGCTTGTACCGAAGGCACACGAAGACGGACGGTGAGAAGAAACAAAGACCAGAAATCTTCCGTGTCTTGCCCTACGTGAGTAACGTCTCCGAAGCCACTGAGCGCATGCTAAGGCCGCTAGGCGTGGGCGTTGGTCACCGACCGGAGGCCACCATCCGCCGCTTAATCATACAGCCTAAGGACCGGCTACCACCTGCAGACACGTCAGGCGTTATTTACCGCGTCAAATGTCTGGACTGTCCAGCCAACTACTGTGGCATGACCGAAAAACGCCTAAGAACGCGCACGCATGAGCACACTTTGGCCGTAAGGCGAAAGGACGTACTATCGCATGTCGCCATGCATTGCCTGGAAAACAATCACAAGTTCGACTTGGACGGCGCCCAGGTGCTCGGCCGAGCCGAAAGCAAACTGGCGAGGGAAGTAATCGAGGCCTGGAAATCAGACACGAACTCTATCAACCGAAGTATTGATTTGCCAGCGCCATACGAGGCCGTCAGGCACCATCTACGCACGAGAGGGGGACCAACGAGAAGCGAACGGGACGAACCTATCGGGTGAGAGTGCGGATGGCCTATTTAAACCCTGTATTTCTCGCTCAGCCTATCTCCGATGATGTGCTCGAGTATGAACACGAAACGTCAGATGAATAAACCTTCTTCCCAAGAGATCGCCTCATCCTCCTCTTCCATATATGTATGTATATATATTCAATCAGGAAAGGGCGCACACCGATCTATTGGCTTCACGAAGCAAACAAGCTCTGTATGGGTGGCGAAGGTCACGAACAGGCAACCAATTACCAGGCCGAAGTCGGCCAAGTCATAATAGCAGCAAGGGGGACGACAGAGTATGCGGGTAGATTGATACAGTACTGTTTCGGGCTTATTGTGCCTTCATTCAGCCAATCATAACCCTGACGACCAGCAGCTGCGACCAGAAACACAAACATGCGCACAGACGCACCTGGCGCAGTTGATCCACCACTGGGGTCTACCAGATGGGTCATAAGCACTTCATCGAACCGAAGTTCATCAGTGCCTCGCCGCCTGCCATTCTCTGTCGCTGCAATCTACCCGCATTCTCTGTCGTCCCTCCTTGCTGCTAAATATATATATATATAATAGAAGCGAAGATGCGCGTCCCCGGACATAAATGAGAAGCAGAAGAGACGATCTCGGGAACCATAGTTGTATTACCCTGACGTTTCAAATGCAAACAAGCTTTCATCGTCGGAGGTGAGTGTTGTACCACGCCTCCTCACAGTATTTATAGGTGGTGATAATCTCCTTTCAACGGGTTTACATCTCGTCGGGGGCTACCGTTCGGGCACTAGCCATCATCGCACGTGTTCGCATGGACCTTACTTTTTGTCCTAGGCTGATCAGATCAGATCAGATCACATTTATTAAGGGAAATGTAGGCGAGCGCCTTTGAACTCCCTTTTTTGTTACAATAACGTCATAAAAAAACAATGTGTAAGGCAAGTGTGAAAAAAATTAGGTAAGTAATTACATACAACAAGCACTGGTCACTGGTATGAATTTGTCTGTGAATGCCTTCTGTGTCAAGATTGTACAATATCCAGTACGGTACTGAATGGACCAAGTAATATCAAAGCAAGCGCATATGTGGCGGTCAGGAGATAGCGAAAATTGTAAAACGTAATGTTACTAAAATATAGGGAGTAGCATGCTTTGTAACATAAAACGTTGGATGGGACGGTTGGCACAGGGGGGAATTCGTTAGTTTCTGATGCTGTGGAGGTACATATCCCTGTACTGGTCAAGCTTTCTCTTAAATGAGTCCACGGATGAGGACATGACGACATCCACAGGTAGGGCGTTCCATGCCTTTACCACTCTGTGGCTGAAGAAGGACCTTCTTGCGTCCAGTCTCGCTCCTGTCACGTAGTTTCAGAGGGTGTCCTCCCAAGCTAGTAGTGGTGGCCAGCTCAAAGAAGTCGCCGGATGCGAGGCAGCAGTCCTGACCCCGTAGCATTCTAAACGTTTGAATTAAGTCGCCACGGAGTTGTCTGTAGTCCAGGGGAAAGAGGTTAAGATTTGAAAGTCTGGTTTCGTAAGGTAGGTTTTTATGACCTCTGACAAGCTTGGTTGCCCGTCGTTTGACTTTTTCGAGGGTGGTACGATCCTTAACAGTCCAGGGTCTCCAGGCCTGAATGGCAAATTCTAACTGTGGGCGCACAAACATCCCGAAGACCTTGCGGAAGCACTCTTCATCGAACTTGGCAAATGCCCGCTTAATGAGATATAAGCTGGACATTGCGGATTTTGCTGCTTTCAAGCAGTGGAATGATGGCTTTAGTGAAGATGTTATCCACACCCCTAGGTCTTTCTGAACCTCTACCAGTGGCAGCGGTGTGTGATTTAGATAATACGTCTGCCGGTGCGCAGAGCTGGTTCTGCCAATCCTCAGAATGTTGCATTTAGTAACATTAAATGGGAGGAGCCAGTGGTCTGACCATTTTTCGAGTCGGTCTAAGTTTGCCTGTAAATTTGCTTCATCGTCCTCGTTGCGGATGACGGTCCAAAGCTTTATATCGTCAGCAAACATGGCAATCTTGCAGTCCAATCCATGGATACAGTCATCAATATAGATGAGGAAGAGGAAAGGGCCAAGAACGGAGCCCCGAGGTACTCCGCTCGTAACCGTCACCTCTGCCGAGTGCTGGCCACCAAGACGAACAGTCTGGGACCGACCGACCAAAAAGTTTTCAATCCACTTCAAAAGCTTGCCTCTTACCCCTATGCGGCTGAGCTTGTGTAGGAGACGTTGGTGTGGCACGCTGTCAAATGCCTTCTTGAAGTCTATGTAGGCCACATGCACAACGTTTCCTTCATCAATCGCTCGGGTCCACTGTTCAAGACAGTAGAGTAGATTGGTTAAGCAGGACCTCCCTCTGCGGAAACCGTGCTGTGCATCGCACAGAAGATGATTTTGCTCTAAAAACCGCATCAGTTCGCGTTTGATTATTCGCTACATAACTTTGCAGCATATGGAGGTGAGGCTTACTGGTCGGTAGTTGTTTGCGGAAGCGCGACTGCCATTTTTATGAATCGGTGAAATCCACGCAGTCTTCCACTCAGGAGGCAGTCTGCCTGCATCAAGAGAGGCTTGGAAGAGGACCCTCAGAGGCTCTGCCAATTCTGTGGCCAATTCCTTCAACAACTTTGCCGGTATTTCGTCAGGACCAGGCGAAGTCCCTTCTTTTAGCTTCAGTAATTCCTGTTAAACAATAGGTTTTGTGAGAACCACTGAGTCAATTGTCGGGACAGTGTCCACATTACAGTGATCAGTGGGTACAGCGACTTCTCTCGTAAAGACCGACTGAAAGAACCTGGACAGATGCTCAGCCTTTTCGTCGTCCTTGTAAAGTTCAACGCCATCATCAGTTTTTAGCATAGGGATGGGATCCCTGTTGCGAGTACTTTGTCTTATGTAGTTGAAGAAAAGCTTTGGGTTTTCTCCTGCACAGTTTAAAAGGTTACCCTCGAAGTCTTGGCGGGCTTTGTAAACAAGGCACTTTACCCTATTCCGTTGAGCCTTATACCTATTTCTTGATTCAGTTGTCTTGTCCCTAAGATATGCTTTCCACAGCTTTTGCTTACGGTTTACTTCAACTTTTAGTGAACCCTTAAGCCATCGGGGCCTGCTGGTGATTTTATTTTTCGACATAGGGCAGTATCTGGTGATAAGTTCATTCAGTATGGCCTTAAGTTCTAGCCAGTCCTTGAGGACACACCCCGTAAATGCTGCTTTCCAGTCTCTACGACGCATGTCGAGACGCATTTGGTTGAAGTCACCACGCCATATGTTGCGTCTAATCACGATGCTTTGATCGGGTACAGAGAAGAGAGAATACTCCCACTGTAGGATTACATGGTCGCTTTTTCCGAGAGAGGGTAGACAGTTTACAACATCAACGCTTTCCGGTGCCTTTGTCAATACAAGGTCTAGGCAGTTAGCTAGTTGTCCTTCACGTAGTCTGGCAATCTTCTTTACGACCCCGTGACGGCCTGTGTTCTCACCCGCTGGATAAGTGGCCGGGACGCTGGCACCTTCGTCGGGTCCGTTTATGTTACTGCAACCGTCCGTTTTCTCACCTGCCAGATAAGTGGGTGTCGCGACTGTGGTGACGATCGCACCTTCGCCAGATCTAAGTTGAAGTGCAGCTGCGTTTGTGTCCGCCATGGACCCGACCGTAATTGAGTTTCTTTCTCCTCGTGACCCGCGTTTGCTCCTCTGTTCTCTGAGCTGCGTCCGGAGGGCCTGGTAGGCTTCGGGAAGCGCTACACAGGCTCATGTGATGGCTGAATATGCGAATCATGCGGACAACTAAGATGATGGCGCCCGGTGTATGTTGGTGCTCCAAGCACTGATTCGCAAATCTCTGTGCGATGAATTCGCAAGTGACCAACCAGTCCGATGCTTGAGGTGAATACGCGGCGACAGTGTGGGCAGGATAGGTCAGGAGCTGTAGAGTCGGTCTCATTCGTGGAGCTACCAGTGCTGGTCGCAGTGGTTGGTGAGGCTTTATTTGGGCTGGGCATGGTAGAAATAGTTGGTGTGTAAGTAGTCATAGGTGCGCCGATACTGCCGGGAACTTCGCGGTTATGGATACGCCTGTGGCGGAATAGGCCCATGCGATCAAGGAATGTTCGTGGACAGTGTGAACAGTAAAGGCGGAGGCAGCAAGTGTATGCCGGTGTTACAGGCACTGGTTGGCCAGTCTCTGTCGATGGATTCGCAAGTGACTGACACAGCCGAAATGTGAGATGAATTTGCGATCGCAATGAGGACAGGTCTGGAAGGAATCCGCATCGTTAGAGGTGAGGGTGAAGATTGACGTAGTGTCAACAGCGTTTCGATCAATAGGAGAAGTGGTAGACGTAGTTGTTGTGGTCGTCGCTGCGGCGGTTTCGGCAGAGATCATGGACGTGGTGATGGTCGGCGGAGGCAAGGCTCGGGGATTCGGAGCAACGGTGGTGAGGGTGGGCGCGGTCGTGGGCGCCGAGGCGGTTGGAGCAGGGACGGGTGCGGAGGCAAAAGTCAGGGTCGTCGGGTAGCTGGTGCATTGGGTCCGGAGATGTTCAACGAGTTCGATCCTCGCGCGAAATGTTTGTTGACAGTGCTGGCATGTCGGGAGGGGTTAGAAGTTTGTGCTGTGGGTCAGGGGCACCTGAGAATTGGGCGCCTACCCCGTTGGCTTTGACAGTGGCAATTCAGTTGGCCTCATAGATGACTGCTTCAGTTTGCGCTGCCCTTCTCCTGAATGGTCTGTTCTAGGTAAGGTTCGCTCAGGTCACCAGGTTTGTCTGATGTCGTTTCAGAGAGTTCTTCAGTGTCCTTGTAGCGTTGTGTTGTCCTTTTTGTCGGTGAACACCCGTAGTTACAGCACGGTAAATGAACCGTTTGGGTATTCACTCGTCGTCCATCCTCACGAGGTGGCCACTCCATCGCAGCTGAAGTTGCTTCAGCATAGTGTGGATTCTGAGGATTCCGTTCCGTTCCGAGGCTCCCGTGTTCACGATCCTGTCTCAGCCTCAGTAATCTGCGCAGGCAGCTGACATGAAAGTGATTCAGCTTCTTAGCTTGATTGAAGTAGACGGTTAGTGTTTCCGCCCGCCCAGAGGTGTCGTCCAGACGATGAGTTGTTCAGTCATTGCGCTCGAATCCACCTCCGGCCGTCTTGATATTGTCTTGCCACCGAAGTCTGGTGCATGGGATACGAGGGAAAGTGGTAGGTGTCTCGCAAGTCCGCCTCAATGCCGATGCTGAGCCCGATGGGTACCTAGTAGAAGTCGCTGCTTGCGACGATAGAATTTTCCGGTAAATACGCACTGCCGATTGGGTCCCTGTTTAAGTTGTCACAAAGAACTCACTTCGTTATTCTAGCAACAAGATTTTGGATCTAAGAACTTGAAATGACACGAGTAAAGGGAAGTCATCACCTACGTTCAGACACTATTCCCGCCCGCATATCATAATGACAGCACGTTACTGAAGCGCTTACTCCAAAAGTATTCTGTAAAAATAGGACCTAACGGAACAACTTGTATTTTAAATGCACAGAAAACGCATTAAATAAGTGTATAAGGTAAAAGTGTTACAATTGCCGATTGCATTTTAAATCATAAGGTAAGGATCTTTAAGCCATTGCTGTTATGTCATCCTTTCACCCACTTTGTAAATAGAAAAATGTGGTAAACTATCTTAAATGGGATGCCATATTATTGACTGGGATTTGTCGCAATTTACGAGTATCCTCATCTGGACCTTAGAACTGGGCAAAGGCAGTGTGCTCGGTGCACCGTTCAGATCAGTTGTGGTAGTATCATCTTTATAATGTACGCCTAGTTCGTGAATTAGCAAGTAGTGTGAACTTGTCGTTTGCTGTCCAGATTCACATTTTCACAGACTGAGTGGTGAAACGTAGTGCGAGAGAGTTAAATGCTATGAGATTACCATCTAAGGTGCTGATAGAGAAATAACTTCGGGTGTTGCCGCGTGGTGCTTGCTGGTAAATGATGAACCCCGACTCGGTTATCAGGATCGCATTAGATGGTCAATTCGCGGAAAGCGAACGTAGTCACTGAGGGGGAAGACCTTCGTGTGCATCAGATGCCATTACTCCTCAGGCCTTAGCGTGGACTTGTATGGGCTGTATGGGGGTCCAATCGACAAAAATTGCGCACTTACATAATGTCGCCAAGAGCAACGGCCTCGCATTGTTGCTCGAAAGGACAAATAGATTCAGATGGACGCCCAATAACGTGGTGTGTGTGTTTCCTTTCATTTGAAAGATCTCACTGGCCAGACTCTAGCTATTCTCCTCTATGAAAGAGGATTAAAACCTCGCATTCGCGAGTGACCTAGTCAGGAGGCATAAAGTTAAATCCCCGCCATCCCGGTCACTCTACCATTAAACACACTTTATTGTGTTTCTGGGGAAACAAAATGTCCATTTTGGCGCCTTTAACGCCTGTCTGCAGGTTTGGAGACGGAGGAAGGGTTTGATAGATTATGGATGCAATCAAATGAGTTTATTACGTTCTCAATATCGAGACCTTGTTCACATCTGTTACCTACATACTGCCAGCCACGAATATTGGAAGCCTTCCAAAGCACAAACAAGTTAAGTTGCAAGTCATCTAAGACTCTCTCAACTACTCGACCTCTTACAGTTATGCACAATTCTAACTGTGGTGAGATCCATGAAGATGTGTCAGAGACCGTCATTTGCCGTCTTGCTTCACCTAGAATAGGAACTTCAAACGTGTCCGAAGCTGTCCTGGGTCTACGAGCAGGGTGACCCATCAGGCCATAACACGTCAGGAGTTCTTTGTACAGCAGAGTCTCAGTACCTTCCTAAATATAGTTTCGTTCGTTGCCATTGCTAAAAAGGCCTCCTTATTAAACGCCTATGTGTCTGTAATATCGTAAACAGTTGCACTACCAAGTCCATTTTTGGACAAGGGAGATCAGCAAAATAAGTGGGTAGATTGCATTCAACTTGATGCTTCGCCTCCGTCAACGCTATTTGCTATGTAGAACTTACGTTCAATAACCAAGCAAGTGGTTTTTCAGTGTACGAGAATCCAGCCACCACAATATAGAATTTGCCAGGGCGATGGAGACTGCTTATGGCCACAATCCAAACGCCGTCACCGACTGATAAAACTCGAGGATCTTTCACCTGCTCGAGGGAACCCAATTACAGTTTACGGAATTGACCGAAGGGTTGCCGACTTCAAATAAATCGGCGAAAACGAACACAAGTAACTACGTGGACCTCATTCAGTTGTAGAATACGCTGGCTGGTAGGAAGTAGCAGACGCCGAATTCGATGTGGGTGTTTCAACCTCAAACACTCTGCTAGACGAACAAATGAGGAAACTCCGCCGCCTCTTGCATATTTGCAATCGTCCATGCCACTTCCACCATATGCTGCCGAAGGTAAAGCCTTGTAGTTTTCGGGCTTCTCAAGTGGAATCACACAGCATCTGAATTCTAAACAGGTATCTACTAACACAACGAATATTCAGCCAAAGCATCTCAACAGCTAGGGATATGAAAAACAAACTTGCTAAGAATCGCAAATGAGCAAGGTTAGAGTAAATCTTTCATGTGTAAATTGACCCTATTGAAATTGTGTTGCATGCGGCTGGAAGAGTGCCGATACATGGTCCACTCGAAAGTAGAGTTTTTCGCATATTTGCTTCGTTCCCTTAAATTGGAGCTACTGGCCTGCATTTCTGCAATACATCCGATGAGTAAGTGAATAAATAAATGAATAAAAGCATCACACCGGAACGAATTGCCGAAGTGATAAAGTAGTCTGTAAGTACGCCTATAAGAATTACTAGCAGGTTATTTGGGTTAATCTTTTCTGTGCCGAATAAGCATGCCTAGAGTGGCTGCAATTATCATTTAAAGTTCGCTAGGACTTTACTAGATGCACGCATTGCATCCTCCGTCCCTTGAAACGACGAGGTGCGCAGTCAACAGCCCTTTTTACCCACTGGTCATTACAAGTTAAACAAATACAGTCACTGAAGTTTTAAACATGCACTTATTTTTCAATGTGAATAATATAATCTTTGTCTTTCAGTCTGCGTAAGTGCAGGTGCATCGAGCTGTTTGCCGAGGATGGCCCTTGTGCATAAGATACAGACATGAACCACAGTTCAGAGGCAGACGTTTATCCACTATGCAGGGTAGAAACCATCAACCAGAATGCACTTCCCATCTGCAAGTGTGACCTAGGGAACTCGAGCGTCCTGTTGCCCACCAACAGATGTCTCTCGCTGTCGTTTGCACAGATTTTTACCCAATGAGACGACTCTTTGACAGGCATGCATTGATAATTCTCGCAGTGCCGGAATGTAGACGATGAATATGGTCGGTAGGACGAGTAGTTGAAAGTCAAGCAAAAATCGAGCAGCCCTGGAAAGTGGAGAGTCCATTGTTATTGTGCAAAACCCCAGAGCACAAATGAACTTGTGGCCAGTTTCGTAGAGGCTGATTACTAGGAAATTCACCGAAAGTGGTACAGTACAGAGGGTGGCAGTCAACCAACCCTGCGGTCGACTAAACGCCTCCATCTGCTCCTTTGTGGTGCCGGGAAGAGCTAGAATGTTCCAGGTGTCCGTAAGCTGTTCAGCCCGTGTGCTACGCACCCATTGGATAATTTTGTAACAGGAGACAATTAAGATGGTAGTGCTGATAAAAGCAGTCAAACCGAATCGAACAAAGGTCTCAGTGTAAAGAGCCACAAGAACTCCGTAAGGCAGATCTGTGTCAAGACACCGACAATATTTTCCATTCCACTCCACTATTAACGCCTGGGGAAGCATACAGATGACGCTGACTAGGCCCATGCCAGCCAAGTATGCGAGGTTGGTAATGCGAGAGGTGGAGAATGAATGCTGGTATCTGCAGACAATTTGAATTGCTCTGTTCCCCACTGTGAAATTCAGTACAAGGGCTGTAAATGTGTATGTAACTATAAACAGATATCGGCTCGTCCATATGTGGCATAAAATCGAAGCCAAGGTAGGATCAGAAGGGTAGAGGCGTCTGGGTATTACGCGGTCGCAGGTTCTGATGAAAATGTAGAAGACCACAGAGCCAACTAGAGCACGAACCTGGATAAGGAATGTCAGGGGTTTGCCTTTTAATAGAAGGAGGAACACCAGCACACCGAGATTTAATAGCAGGCTGAAGGCGTTAATGAAGGCAGAAATGAAGAAAAGGGCGTCTTTCGGTGATGCAGTACCAGGACACTTCCAGTAGGCCTTCTCCATCGTACTACTCCTGAGAACTTTCGACTTAGGCACTGATGCAGTATGTGTGCGCAGTGAAATATATACGTTTTAGAGGCGGCGGCGGCGGCGCCTAATACATGCAACTAGTGTATTTACTTAAAGAGACCTTGTTGTTTACACACTTTGCCTTTTCCCTTCGGTCTAGAAGCGACCTCAGCTTGTAATTCACCTTCCTGTCATAAGCCACTACCCCCTCTGCCCGCCTAAATGCCTCCTACCCCTGCCCCTGCGACTGCCGTCCCGCCTGGGCTCGTCTGGTTTCTCTTATTTACTTTCCAACCCACTCCCGCCAACCTGCATTATTGTTGATGTGTTTGAGTCCTCCCCGTTGTTTGACTCGTCGTTTGTCGTATTGGTCATGTTTCCTTTTGTCATCTCCGAAATTGCTCTCCCTTGTACTTCGAGACTGGTAAACAGATTATATTGCTTTTTTCTACGCTGTCTCCTGTTGAGTAATTCAGACAAACCATTTTTTCCTACAAGACGCCCAATAAACTGCTCTGTGTGGCAACGCTGGTCGGAGTTCTACATTGATGACATGGCATGTTAAATCTCCCGTCGTATTGAATTTGGCTGTGAGTTGAGGTGGTATGGAGTTGGACAGACCCGTCCGTGAAATATCTAACGCTTGTAGAGGCATGAGGTGCTACCTTTCTGGGGTTGGCGAAAAGTTGATTGGTTACACTACATATGGGGAGTGGGGAGGATAGAGTGCGATAGATGCCGCTCAATTCTACAATCACAATAAATCAATCATTATCATTATAAATATTATTCTAAAATCGCTATAAATTAATCCGTGCGCACGTTATCATACCTGCTGCATCTTTCTGTGTAACGCACGGTGGATAGAGTCAGAATCGATGGTCGAACGTCGGTTACACCAAATTGTCTTGAAACAGTAATTTCGACCCTCATTCCAGGAGCGGTCATGATTGTGAAATGTTGTCACACACAGGCTATAATAGCAAGGTTCGCGTCCCCCTATAGTGCAGGTCGCATGGATAGTCAATGACCGTTGTGTGTGGTGCGCCTTTACGAGGTATCTTGGGAGCAGTGAAACAATGTGTCCTTTTCCAAGAACATAACTGAGCAGGTCAAACGGTCATACAGTGTGACGCGCATGAATCTACGGACTAATTGAAAAGCAGGCGTGTTAATTGCTAGTGATCGACAACACGGTTCGTCCCCGAGATAAAAAGGCATCCGAGTCTTTGTGATCCTAAAAGGCTGCTTAGGTATGAAGGCGGAAAACATATTGGCCCATTTTGTCCTATGTTCTTTTGCCAACCCGTCAAATGCGGGCATCACGAGGTAAGAACACCTTAAAAATACACTCATGTAGTTAGCATTGATGCCAGACCGTGCAAAGAGGTTTTAAGTAGTGCAGGATAATTCTTACCTGGGTTCAACATTTGTTTAAACAGGCAACCTCGCTGAATCGCCCAACGTCCTCCCCCACTCGCCGCCCCGTGATCCAACCCATGTCAAGATTAATGGTAATAATAAAGCGACTGGGCAAAGGCATGGTTTACGCCCGGGGTCACTTTCTCCGGGGAGCATTTGCGTTAAGGAAAAGATCCGCAAAAAGAAGAACTTTGTGATTTCACAAAATCTGATCCTCCATGCTGTCACCAATCAAAAGGGGACACTATTATTACCGTAAAGAAGATGAAGACCCGATCTCTGGGACAGTGGGTTTTTTAGTCTGAGCTTTCGGTCTCGTACAGGAGGCCATCGACAGAGACTGTGAGAAGGCAACATCAAATGAGTGGTTTTTGTAGTCACTCCATGAAGGGGGGAGAGACATGAGTGCAGAGGGTGGTATTCGCGTTAAGTGGCGTCCCACGCCGTCTCACGGTGGCGTGACTGCGTGCACCCTTGGCTGGAAATTGGGTCTCGCCCCTTGGCCGCGGGAACGGAGCGCGTGATAGCAGGGGGGTATGTCAACGCGCCTGTTGATAGCGTTAGTGTCAGACACCCAGGCCTCTAACAGTTCTCATCCTGTCTTAGTGCTGGCCCGCGCCACTATCCGCGTGCTCGCAAAGTTGAGTTCGTGGCCTTCCTCCAGGGTGTGAGTGGCGACCTGAGACAACGGGTCGACTCTCCGGACCGTCCCGCTTGTGCTCCGTTATTCGTGAGCTAAGTCGTCGTCCGGTTTGTCCAGTGTAGTGGCGAGGGCTGTCCCGACATGGGATCTGATAGACGCCGCGCGATTGTTCACCCACGTCTAGGCGATCCTTCACTTGCATGATTTTGCTGCACATGGTCGCTGTCGGACGGTTAAACTGCTTTTTCCACCGATACCTGTACATTTGGATCTATTCTGGAAAAAATCTTTGACTGAGAATCCCTTAGCATTCTAACATATGCTGATGCACTGAGCCTTCATAATCGTATGTTCCGAGCGGATGCGTAGAATGTAGAATGTCCATCTTCATTGCAAGCAATGTAACTTTGATAATATCTGCACTTTCATGCTTATGATACTACACAGCCACTACAAGAGAGGACTTAATTCAACTGGGAATTTTCGACTGCAGGATGTGTATCGTGTACTAAATGTTGTCAAGGATGCTATTAATTTTCCCGCCAGAATGATGGTTTTATATTACGATACGTATAGGATGAGTGCATAAGTAATATCTTAGTAAAATGTCACTCACCCCTCCAAGGTACGTGTGTGTGTTTTATTTCTAGCATATCGGCTATTTCAAATGGATGACATCTAGGCAGAAAGGTTTAAAATATATTTGCGGATACGCTGAGGCAACAGGACAAATTATGTGTCCTTTAGACAGACAGTCCTTAGAATATGGGCTGGAGCAAATGTAAAATTCCTAGTGCACAAGCCTAAATTACCTTTCTCAGAAGTCTTAGACAGAGAGATCTGCACTTGCGCTGCCGATCTCTCTTATTACTAACGTTTGGATGAGATTCGAACAATTAATATGAATGCACATAATTGTAGTTGAGGAGGTTTTCTGTGTTCTTGCACTGCAGGTGAGTATTCCTATTGCCCTCGCGCATGAAGGCAACAGGAATTTGGCGATGAGTTGAGGTGGTATGGCGTTGGACAGACCCGTCCGTGAAATGTCTAACGCTTGTAGAGGCATGAGTAGAGCGTGAGACACTCTTCATAAGCAGTGTCAGACCCCAGTTGTCAGTGGTGACGTAAGGCTTCAAAAATCAGTAAAGGATGAGAAGAAGTCGGCAGGAAAGACTATGGAGAAAGGTCGCAAAAATCCGATGGAGAAGATGTCAGGCAAGTTAGAAAGGAAGCCGAGGGCCCAGCAATTAAAATGATAAAGATGGACCGTCGAAAGAGCTAAACAGTCCCCAGACAGTATGCGCACCTCCTGAGCTTAATGTGGGGGGGGGGCGTCGACCAATACAAGACCGAATAAGAATGAACTCAGGGTGGGAGTGGATGCACATACTCTCACGTATCTTCATGTAAATAACACTGATGCCCAAACTGGGGAAGTCTCAACATCGGTCACACCAATTATCCAACAAAACTCGCTGGACGGAGGTGCTGTGTGCAAATCGCAATGCATAGTCGTCCATGGACTCCGTGAATCAACCAACGATAACCCCAGATGAAGAATAACTAATGATATCATGATCTTGCAAGAGTGCCTGGGTGATATAATAAAAGAAAATGAAGCGATTAAGATTCTGAAGCTTTTCCGACTAAACGCTAATGACAGCATGATTTCCCAATGGATTATTCAAGACTATAAAAATTGTTTTAGAGGTATCTTCTTCTTGGATGAGCATTAGGAGGAGGCCCTGGCCACGAAGGTCTTTTTTTCAATCGAATTACTCAGTACAAGAGAGAATGAAATGAAGAGCTCTGAAGGCATAGCTGGCGACCTCGAAAGAACAAGGAGAGAAGGAACTAGTAATAATGAACAGAGCGATGGTGAGACGACAAAAAACACGTCTTTGGAGAAAGCCTGTGATACCGACGAAGGCCACACGGCCGGGCAACTAATGCGATGCAAAAGCCTACATAAAATTAAGTTCTTCTACGGAAATGTACAAAGCCTCTTGGACAAACTCGACGGACATAAAATAATTGTGGCCGAATTACGTCCTGATGCTATTACATTAACTGAAACGTGGCTCATCCCAGTAGTCCCAAACCCCTAAATACAATTAGATGGTTATCGAGGGCCAAGATGAAACCGAACCAAAAGGCGAGGTGGCGGATTTGCCCTATATATCAGTGCTGCAGTCGAATGTAACCCTGTTAAAAATGAGTAAATGAGCATGACGAGGAGATGCTACAATGTCATTTGTTGGTTCCTGAAGCTGCCATGTTTGCGGATGACATAAAAATCTGGAAAGCCATTCAGAATGCTGCCGATGAGACCACCTTCCAAGAAAATCTTTGTCGATTGGACGAGTGGTCCCGCAGATGGCTCTTGTCCTTCAATTTGAACAAATGCACCATTATGCGCCTCGGAAATCAGACCCCTAGTACGCGGCAATACCATCTGAACGGAATGCCACTCCGAGAAGCAGAAACTCAGAAAGATCTCGAAGTTTGGGTTGCAGACAGCCTAAAGCCTTCTACACAATGCTGTAAGGCGGCCAAGGCCGCAACCTCAATGCTATATGCCATCAAGCGGGCATTCGTAGTTTTCGATGAAGACTGCTTTACCAAAGTCTTCGGCACGTTTATAAGGCCCCTTTTCGAATATGCAATGCAGGCCTGGAGACCGTGGACGCATCAGGATTACGATCTGCTGGAAAGGGTGCAGAGACGAGCAACAAAATTAATAAGAGGTCAAAGTGCACTGCCATACGAAATCCGCTTAACTAACCTTAATCTCTATCCTCTGAGCTATAGACAGTTGCGCGAAGACATGATACAAACTTTCCGTATCGTGCGCGGCTAGGATTGTGCCCTTCGGCGCGATGAATTTTTCCAACTCGCCACTACAACTCACCTCCGGGGACATCCCTTC